CTCGCGATAATTATTCCAAAATGATGATTTTGTAATTTTAATGCATATATTTTATGGCACAAAAACATCGTACATAATACGTATACGAAGGTTTTTTAATCAAAAAATCACTATTATTATTATTGTCGAAAATATATCACTCTCGTATTATCACTTCTCAAATATCATCACATCTATTGATATTTTAATATTATTATATTAATTGTGTATTTATGTTTATCACAATAAGCCGTCATGAGTTGAAAAAAAAAAAAAAACGTGATTGTATATTACAATTACAGAAAGATGCTGCAAGTACTACTATTCTTATGGATTTTCATTTTACCCAGCGTATTTGGTGCATTGGGTGGTTTAATTGGTCGAACACAAAGTGTTGGTGTTACCGGTACGCTTACATGTAATGGAAAACCGCTCGGTAGTGTACTTGTTAAGTTATATGATGATGATAGAGGTTTGTTAACAATTATTTTAATTTTTGAAATTAATTTAATAAATGGAAAATATTTTGATGTTACATTCGTATATTGATTTTAATTCAAAGCAAAAATTAAATCTTAATGATTGGAATTCGAAAATTTACCAATCACTGAAATGTATCCAATAGTTATGAAATTATTTTTATAAAATAATTAAATTTTTGTAAATCGTCGTTTATTTGTAACTTACAAATAATCAAACAATCTTTTTTCTCTTGTTGCAAGTTTTGAATTATTCAAATGTTTTTTATTAAATTTTATTTCGTCATTATCATTCTTATCAATGCATTGTAAATATATAACATATTTACGAGATAAAAGTATTGAATAATTGACAAAAACTATAGAAATACATCGAGAAAGAAAAAAAAAATGCTATTTAATAACTATTTCTTGGCGCAGGTAATTCTTATTTTCAGGTCTTAGTACGGATGACCTAATGGCAAAGGGTGAAACAGATAGTAAAGGTTACTTCCGAATTTCCGGCTCTATCAATGAAATTTCAACAATCGATCCAAAACTTAACATTTATCATGACTGCAACGATGATTGGATTGTAATAGTTTTATTTATTTTTGTAATAAATATTTGCTAATAATTAGTAAAAATAACAATTTGATAGGCTGGAAATATTTGTAAAAATATATGATATATAAAAGTATACTTTCATCTTTATTTGCTTATTTCGTTTTGTTTCATTCTTTGCAGTATTTTTTATACTTAAGTTTAAAAATTTTTTTCATTAAAATTAATGTAATCAGCAAGAAAATCTTTCGTTTCTAATACCGAAAGTTTCATAATAGTTTATTGTTTGACTAATGATCAAAAAATAGCCAAATATTTTTAATTCTATCATTTAAATCCACAACTAATTTAAACTATAAATGAAAATTGATGATTAATGATAGCTCTTTGTGTTTCTCCTGCTTTTATATTTAGCATTTACAATCGTTTAATTGATAACCAATTTAATAAGCAGATACTATTTGTCCCCATCAATGTATAGCTTTGCTTTTTATTCATGCTTTACCCATAAAGTAAGCAAATGTTTGAACATTCAAAAATTTCAAATCATTTGAGTATTTTACCACCGATACATGTGAATATTAATTCCTGCAAATCAAATTATATTGCTATTAAAATTTTTTTTTTTTTTAAAACTTTCAATCATTCCAAATAAATAATAATATCTTATTACATAAAATAATTTTATATATTCATAAAATTTCTCATGCACAATTTACAATTTTTATTTTTAGCTAATTAGAATTTTTTTAAAACAAATTTATGATTCATATTAAAAAAAAAATTATTTCGAATTTATTGCATAATATATTATCATAAAAACTTTTACGATAAAACATTTATCGTATGCATTAATTGATTTATATCTAATTTTCAATTTTATATCGTTAAAATTTGCATATGAAATAATTCAACTTCAAACTTATCGATATTCTTTTGTTTCAGCCTTGTCAACGAAAATTGAGCATAATGATACCGGACAGCTATGTAACTGTAGGAAAAACACCAAAAGAATTCTACAATGCAGGAACCATTGAACTTTCTGGTAAATTCAAGGGTGAAACTCGTGATTGTATCCATTAAATTTAAGTCGTGTGAAATGTTTGAATTGTTTTTTCTATTAAATTTAGTATGTAATCGTTTTTGATTGTATTTTTCAAATCAGTTAATTTATATACATTATGTTTTTTTTTTTATATAAAATTTTTGCATTAACAAATTTAAAAAAATTAAATTCCTCAACTATCGATTTAATTTGTTCCATGGTCAAATTTCAATGAAAAATTTAAAATTTTAATTTTCTCAATTTCATCCTACTTAATTTTTAAATGCTATCACATTTCAATTGATTATTATTACACAAAATTAATTTTTTTTTTTGCATTATTGAATATCAAATCATTTTCATATGGATGCATCATCATAATTATTTCTCGAATACAATTGAATTTCCAAATGGATGTAAATTTTTGCACCCAAACAATTCTAACCAATTGCTATGCTCTATAATGCTATAATTTTTTGGGTACCATCGGATTTTATTTTTTCGATTATTTGAATACTGATTATGCTGTTAAATTTCCGAATAAATTCATTAATTACTATAAATTACGAATGAATTTCCTAAATTAGTATTAAACTTACATTATGTTTTGTTTTGTTTAAAAAATTTGCCCAGTTAAATTAAAAATAACAATTTGCATTGTAATTATAATAAAATTTGGCAACATTACAAAAGTTTGATAAAAATTTATGGCAACCAATACACGTTGTAATTAAACGTCAATAATGAAAAAAAAAAAAATTCACAAGAAATTGAAAAATAAATCGCTTGGTAATTTATTAATAAAGTATTATAGAAAATTGATTCAAATAATTAATCCTAACTATAATGGAGCATCATCTCATTAATGCAATAATTACTGCATATTTTAAAAGCTTAAGACAAAGCTAATTAAATTTCCGATTCGGAAAATTTAATGAGAAATGGTTAGAGCGAACGGATTAGAGAGCATTTAATGAATAAACAGCTCACTTTTCTTCTTCTTCTTTTTAATCCCAGCTTCCTCAAATTTTTCAAAGAAAAAAAAAAGAAAGAAAAAAACAAAAACAAAAAAAAATTTAAGTCATTTTAAGCCTTGCATTAGAAATCAAAATAAAATCCCGACGAAAATCTTTGATACTTCATTAAGCAATATAGTTTATATACTATACCACCAATTACAAATTAATTTTTCTACTCTTATTCAGATAAATAAAATTTAAAAAGTTGAAAAAGAAAGGATGCTTTAATTTCATGTAAGCTTAATTTATTGTTAGCTTAGTTATTAGGAATAAAAGTTTGCCCTAAACGTAACTAATCTAATAATTTGATTCTGATTCGATATTTAGATTAAACATGTAATCATTGTAAAACGAATAATTTGTATTCTTTACTCATCTAAAAAAAAATCAATATATGAATAAGTAATAATAACATTTGCAAACATAAATTATTTTTTTTATTTCAATTTCTTTTACTAGCATCTTTTCTAATTTTTTTTTTGTTGAAATTTATTTGAAGTTTCAGTTTTGCTGATTAAAATAATTTTAAGCTACTGTTTGCATTGAATATTGATGAAACAAATGGTTAATTGAAGTACAAATTGATTAATTACCAAATGAACAATGTCAAAACTATTGCTCACCATCATTCTTTATCTTCTTCTTCTTCTCCTAAGCTTACAATTTCAACTTTTGCTGCTTCATCTTTTAAATCATTCCACATCTGATATACTTTGTGCTTCACATTTTCTTATTTGCAAATTATTTTGAAGTGTTATCAGTACAGTTATTTTTGCTCATGTTATTTGATGTGTAATTATTTTGTTATTAGCAAATTAGCAAATACTTGGGAGGAGAAAAAAAAGAAGCAATAATTTATTTGTTTTTTATTTCGATAAGAATATAAAGATCGGAGATCAACTGGATTACTCGTTGTTTAAGCTATTTGTAATCAAATGCTATGAAATGGAACAAAATATTCTCATAAAGCATTATTGTTTTTTGTAGTAAAAATACGCTATTATTTAAATTATTTGATAAGATTTGTGATGAAATAATATGAAATGAAATGAAGATCACTATAAAATTGAAAAGTTTTTTTTTTGGATTTTTGATAAGAACAAAGGTTTAATTTAGCAAAAAAAAAAATAGTAATGAAATTGCGCTCAGTTCATTATAAAATTTAACATAAAACCTTAAAAATTTTTGAAATATTGAAATAATTTAATAGAAATGGAAAAGCTATCTATATTTATCTATGCTTGGAGTAATTCAAGTTTTCATGAAAGTGACAAAATATATCATATAGTAAACATTAAATGATTGATTGACCAGCTTTTTATGATATGATAAAATGTTTGCTAATTTTCTCTTTAATTAATTTATTACATTTACCCATAATATGTATAAAAAATTAATTGATAAAAAACTAGTTGATTAAAATGGATATTTAGAAGTAATTGAAATCTGTTAATTATTGTTATTTAGTGATGAAACAACAAATTTTGCTGCTAACAACAGTATTCCTAATACCAAACGTCGTCTATGGAGCAGTTGGTGGTTTAGTTGGACGAACGCAATCTGCAGGTGCTAAAGGTTATCTGACATGTAATGGTCGACCTGAAAGTGGCGTACTAATTAAGCTATATGATGATGATAGAGGTATCAATTAATATAATGAGCCAAATCTGTTAAAAATTGAGGAAAAAAAAAACAAATGAATTTTAAATCCAAAATAGTGCTTTCACATGGTAGCATTTTTTTTTTTTTTTGTAAATAATAAATTTAATTTTTTTCAAAATTGCAACAATTTCTTATTTTAATTCATGCAAAAAAAAAGTGAAAGTATTAATTTTTGTTTGTTTGTTTATTTCCAGCAATTTCTCTTTTCATAGGTTTGGATTTCGATGATTTTATGGGTGAAACAATTACTGATTCTCGTGGATTTTTCGAAATTAGTGGGAATAATGCTGAAATGACACCAATTGATCCTAAAATAAACATCTACCATGATTGTAATGATGGTTGGTGGGTAAGTTAATTATGCACAATTTTGCATATTTGTTATTTATACAAATAAATCACAAAGATATATATATATATATATATTGACATCCTTTTCTTTTCAAATTTTTCATGGAAAAGAATTAAAGAATTTCAAAATTTTAATGAATGAATTTTTTCTTTTCTGAAGAATGAACAGAAAAATGATTTTTGAAACAAAATTTTATACATTTTTTTTAACAAAAAAAAAGAGCTCAAATTAGATTTTTGTTTGATAATTAAATAAAATTGCAGCCTTGTCAACGTAAAATCAGCATTATGATACCGGATGAATTCATTACAATCGGTGCCGTACCAACAAAATATTACGATGTTGGAACACTTGAATTAGCTGGTGAATACAGCGGAGAAACACGTGATTGCATACATTAAAATTGTACTTTATCATTTGAATCATATCATCATAAACAGTTATTATTTCAGTAATGATATAGTGAAAAAATCACGAGATTTTTGTATCATTTCATATTTCGAATCGCATAAATGATGAAATTCACTCAATTAATTAATAACAATATGATATGATTAAGATAATATTAGAAAAAAAAGCATTAATCATATTGGCAGCATTTTTGTAAAATGTATTTTAGAAGTGTTAAAAATGAGGAAAAAATCGAAAAAATTGAAAAATATTTCTTTTTTTTTGCAAATAAATTTGACAGAAAAAAAAAAGATAAGAGAGAGTTAACTATTTAAAGCATTCGAATTTGATGAAATTTTTCTGAGCAATATCTATAGCTTTTTAATTTTTT